GAACGACTGCTTTCTTCAGACAGTTGCGGACAGTACAGTTTGGTATCAATAATTTGACTATAGGGAAGCAGCTCATAGTGAATGATTCCTTGCCAATTCCACCAAAAACACAGCCAAAACCCCTCCTGGTCATCAACCCTGGCTGGGAGAACGTCTATGGATAGGTTGTAAGAGCATGATAAGGCCCATTAGGATCGTAACGTGTTTAGTGACTAATTCGTCTGTTGGAGAATTCGGTATAACCGCTTTCAAAAGCCTGCATATTAATCTTGGCATGACTAAATTCGGCACAAGTTGGGTACCGAGAATGCTCATGCTTCTGATAAAGCAACAGCGCATAGTAAGTTCGCGTGCATTTTTGGATCTCTAAAACGAAGAGAATGTGGTGTATTGAGTCGAATTGTTACTAAAAGCGAATATTGGATTCTTCGTTCCGAACCTGAGTCGAAACAGGATTCCATGCGGTGACGTAGAAAAGGAACAGTACCTTCCAGAAGCTTGTGGTGTCACAGTCAGCTGGGTAACTCGTGGCAAATGTCTTTTGAGACTCAGAAGGAATATTATTGATCGTTTATAAAAATAAAAGTGTTCCTATAACTGGAGAATACTACGTCCCAATATTAGAGTGACCAAAAGAAGCCTTTAAATACTTGGAGATTTCCACTCACCAATCCTGGGAGGCCGAGACCTGGCTCAAAGTGTTCATTAACTGTTTCCAGAAATGAAAAAAACAGTTTTGGGATAAAAAACCGGTGGTGTGGTTTAAAAAAAAAACAACAGCATTAAGACACACGCCACAATTTGGGATAAGAGCTCGGTCTAAAATTGCTTCTACGGTTCTGAGCTCCAATGATATAAATATGCAGTACCGTGGGTATACTCAATTCCCACTTCTGGAAACATGCGCAATCTGTGTGCAAGATGCGGTAACCAACCAAGGAAGCTTCAGTGGGTCCTATACAATATTGGTTGAGGCTGATCGACTTCGCCAAAATCAGCACTAGATTTTAGTATAAGAAAATTCACCCAGATATCTGGGAGTCTCCATACAGAAAATCTCGCAACCAGATCGATCATGTTGTTATAGAGAACTCAACATTGACTCGGATCGCTAACTTGTAGCAGCAATAATACTCACTTGCCTCTGTGCAGCAAAGAACACCTATCAACAAACACTAAATTTACACGGTAAACTGATGTTAAGCCACACCAAAAGCTACGTCAGCATAGGGATGGACCTCTCCGAGGCATTCGATACCAAACGAGACTTAAGACAAGGTTATTCCTTATCGCATAATTCGAGAAAATATTTCGAGCTTCATTACTGTGTAGAGAGCGACAATCTTCCGTAAGAGTGTACAGCTGCTGGCATATATGAATGATTTTAACTTCATTGACCTCAACAACCGCGCCGTCTGTTCTGCACTCTCCAGACTGGATAGTGAACGAGGTAGTGGTAGTCAAATACAGAGTTATTGTAAAAGTGACTCGGATGCCATGTCACTTCGAGATCGTAGATAACTTCAAATATCTTGGAACCAGTATTAACACCAACAACAATGGCAGCTTGGAAATTCAACGCAGAACCACTCTTGCCAACAGGTGCTACTTCGGACTGAGTAGGTGATTGAAAGGTAAAGTCCTCGCCGGACCAAATTCTACAAGTCCCTCATCATGCTCGTCCTGTTATATGGTACAGAAGCGTTGATGATGTTGACATCTGAGAGTCTGTATTAGGAGTTTTCGAAAGAGAGATTTTTCCTAAGATAAATGGTTCTCTGTGCGTTGGCGTCGGCGAATACCGCAGACTATGGAACGATGAGCAGCAAGAGCAGCGGCTACGCTGGCTAGGTCATGTAGTCTGGATGGATGCGAATACTCTAGCTTTGAAAGTTTTCGATGCAGTACCCACCGATGGAAGAGGAAGACCTCGGTTGGAAACATCATATAGAGAAGGACCTGACTGTACTTCGTGATTCCAACTGGCGCCAAATAGCGAAAAGAAGACAGAAATGGTGCGATGTTGTTACTTCGGCTGTAATCGTGTAAACGATGTCTATGCCAGTAAAAAAGAGAAGAAGAAGATATGTACTTAGGAACGTTTGTCAGGAGGTAGGAAGTGGGACTTATAGTTTATTAAAGGAATAGTAGAAATAGTTATAGTTGTTTTTTTTTTTCAATATAAAAATACCACATTTTCCAAATGGATTTAGGCTGGAGATTTTGCTAAAAACTTTTTACTAAAATGTTTCAAAAAGCCGCTGGCAAGAAAAAAATTTCCTTTTTTTTTAAAAAAATATTACTATCACTTGAGCATTTCGCACGCGTCCTTAACACTTAACACTTGTGCGGAAATTTTCGAAATTTTTCGAAACAATTCAAAACCAACGCATTTGAAAATGCCACATAAAGAAACATAGTAGACTTTGAGAAATTTGTTTCATTTGAGAAAAAAATATTCATAAATTCAAAAGCAAATAAATTTTTTAATTAAAATTCCAAAACGCTTTAAAAATATTAAAAAAATATATGTATATATATATATAAATCAAAATTTCACCAAATTTATAAATAAATTATATATGGATATTAAAGCGGAATATTATATGAAAGCATATCCGATTTGAGATTTGAGAACGAGTAAACGAATAACGATTTTTGTGCAGTTTCTTTGGTGTTGTTGTTTTGAGCGTTTTTTCCCCTGTATTGTGTGTTTTAAGTATCGTTACAAAATAATCAATGAAAACCATATTTTTCCATTTTGCAAAGAAGAGCTTTTGAACAGAAAAAGAAACAAAGAAAGAACGAAAATATAAATTGCAAATTTTCCTTTTTTTCGATAATAACCAACTACTAACTATTACAATAACTCTTAATTCTACTATTTTGTTTTCAAATCCTCTTTACTTCTCGTCTGTAAGGGAATTTTGTTGTGTAAAAGCCAAAATAGCAAACAGAAAAACGGTAATTTCTAAAGGAAAAAATTAAAAACAAAAAAACTTTATTCTTAGCAATCAACTTTTGTGAGCTACGCTTTGGAAGAAATTTATTTTAAGAAGAGCAAAATGATTAAGTACGGTAAGTGTTTGCCTAAAATATTTGCTATGTTTAAGTGAGGTTATGTTACTAAAAGCAAACGATTTATATGTTAAATTTTACAGATTTTATTTTCAAACGAATTTTTATTTTCAAATTTAAAATTTTTTTAAACTGCGTCGTTCACATATGTATATTGGGAATGGGAAAAACTTTGAATATTTTTTTCCTTGAATAAATTTATTTTAAGTTTTCCTTTTTTACAACTCAAAAGTGATGATCCAGTTATTTCAAGAGATTTTCATTTTTGAGAGCTAGTCTGTAGAACTACCGGAGAGTCATAATACATAATTCAACTCAACCATATGTAAGAGGTAAAATGGTGTAAGTCAAAATAAGCAATTTAAGATCATTTTTATAAAAGTTATTCTTGTAAAATCGCATTCAGTGGAAAATTGAGCAATAAAAAGTCACCGCGACTTTTTTTATATTTTTGAACAAATATTTTTTTGATTGAAAACTATTTTTAATCAAGTTCATTTGACATTTATCGTTATTATCTAATTTTTTGGAAAATACTTTGTAAATTAATGTGGAACTTCAGTGATTTCTCCGCGAAGAACTTGGACAAGTGGCCTTTCGGTAGGCCAATTTTTTCCCTATCAAGAGAGCTTTCCAAATACCCAAACCAATTGTACCCGCTGGAAGGATTAGGTGGAAAGTGTCCCGGCTTCACATAGCATTTTTAACTGGCGCCAGGTAGCGAAAAGAAGAGAGGAACTGCGGGCTAAGACTGATTTGACTATAATCGCGTAAGTTTTGCCAATGAGAATGAAGACGAAGAAGATCTAATTTATTAATCATTCCTTTTACATGAAATTTGGTACAGAGGTAGTTTTAATTTTCAAAACACAAAAATTGTTGCTGCTAAAAACCATTTTTTATAATTTTTTTTTAATTTTTGGAAATAACCAGAAGTCACAAGGTGCTATATCCGGAGAATATGCAGCTGAACGTGTTTCTTCTGTCCCAGAGATCGCAATAAAAATTTTTTCCAACAAATTCTTGAAAACTTTTGGTAAGCACTCTTCGGTGTACCATTCTGCAGTTACCGTCTGACCCTTTTTCAGCGGAATAGCAGCTACGAGTTTAGATCGGAAGAAGATTACTTTTGCTGCGGATTTTTGATGCTTAGATTTTACGGGTGGGTTCGCTCCTTTTGGGTTCCATACCTTGGACTGCTGTTTGGTTTCTGGATCGTTCTTATAGAACCAAGATTCGTCACCAGTAATGACTTTACCAAAGTTGCTAGATTGACCATTTTCGAATTTGTTTAGGAAAAATTAAGCAAAATGCCTCTTTTGGGCTTTAATTCAAATTCGTGGTCCGCATAAAGCAGATTTCTTTGTGCATCCCAGACGATTACTTTACATTCACGATACAGCCATTACATTCAAACCCAATTCAGTAGCAATCATTTCTTGTGGTAATCGTTGGACTTCAATTTGGGACTACACCAGAGCTACAGTAACGTCATCAATCAGTGGAAGATTTTGGTCGACCTTATCGGGGCCCGTCCTCTACGGAAAAATGTCCCCTGGAATCTTCGGAACGAGTCAGAAAGAGACTCCTTAGACTCCTTAGAGACGTTGAAATCGTTCCATATGCAATTTGGCATTCACTGAATATTGGGATTGACTGTAAATTATGCCTAAACCCGAAGAGAATCACATGGTGAATTTCCGTTTGCATTGATGGTGGAATTTCGTCTGACCTAACTTCATCTACCTGTCGCTTTCTCGGCTCCATTTTAGCCGATTGTTCTGAAATTGGAATTTTTCTTTGAAATGGAAGAGATTCCGCCGAATGAAACCCTCTAACCGCTTAACATTATCGGAAATACAGGAAAATAACTTCTCATTGATTCGAAGTTAGTCTAAAACAAGGAATCCATACAAGAAAAGTTGAGTCGTTCATTAAAAAAAGTGTTTATTGTACTTTAAATGCCTTGGTTTTCTTTTTTCCACTTTTGCTTACTAATTCAAGTTGCCGAAAAGTTTTAAAACTTAAAATTAATATAAAGTAATACATATACATATGTATGTGTGTAATCTATTGTACTTATATGTATGTAAGTTTATTTGTTATTTGATATGTTTATATATTTCATAAGATTTCATTTTTAAAAGAGTCGTTTAAAAAAGACTACACTAACGGTACATGATAATACGGCAAAAAAGCACATAAATGATACATACAAAAGTTAAGTAGTATATATATATATAATGTGTTTAATTTAACATTCAATTATTCGAGCTGTTTCTATGTCTTTTTTCGCATCTCTCTTTTGGACGGATTCGGTTTGGCCATTTAGGCATGTCTTTTTATTCCTTTCTGCAATATTCTCTTTATAATAACACGAGATTTTTACAAAACGCAATGTTGTATAACGGAATATTATTGTGGTCACAAGTTTGGCAACCGTTTAAAAAAAGCAAAAAAAAAAAAAAATTAATATGGAAAAAAATTTGATAGTCGAGTTCATAAAAAATCAAAGCAATTTCTTCTTTTCCAAGAACAACAACAACAGTATCAAACGCTCATATTATATTTATTATTATTATTATCATCTTCATATTGGTCTGGTTGCGCATAAAGCGCACAGCTGTGTCACGCAGACAAAGGTTGGCTTGGCACGTTGGTGGCGCGAATACAATAGAGCCTGCAGCAGCGCGCATCTTTACAAAAAGACATGCAAAAAACACACACACACATGAAAAAAAAGAAACTCTAATGAAAAAATTGAAAAGTTTAATAATAAAGAAAAGCAGCAGGAGGAGGTACCACTACCAACGCGCTGACCATCGTCCTGTTTGCCTGTCTGTCTGACAGCAGCATGATTGCCTGCCTTCTACTCTGCAGCCTGTCGATTAAGCGGCCAACTCAGTGCTGACTATGAAAAATGTGTGAAAATATTTCGCTGCAAAAACCTATGCTCATCAAAGGATATGCATGGCCAGCGCGTCTTCGTTGCTTTTTTATTACACGCATTTCGTTTTTTGATATCAAACCTTTTCTATGTGCATGCGTTTTTTTTTTTTGCTCGGCGATTCAAAAAAGTAACGGCGTTTTTGTCGGTCCAAGTGTTGAACTGGTTTTTTACTAATGCATAATCACCACTGTTGGCTGTAGAAAAAAGGTTCTCAGGGTACACAACCGAAGATAATAAAAATTCAGGCACATTTGATAATCAACTATGAAAAAATATTTAATTCATGCAAAAAAATAATGAAATATATAGAAAAACAAGGAAGGAGGGTATGCAAAAAAAAAAATAAAGAAAAAAAGAGTAACAACAACATTAACGTTGCAGGCAACGCAGGAGGCCACAGGAAAGCTTAATAAAAAGCGTCTAAGGTACAAAACATCTCAAAACGGACGGACTGGCGATTTGCCATGGCAGTGTGCGCATCCTAATGGACAGCAGCTTACGTTTAGCAATAAAAGGGTGCAGCAAGATAGACATGGGCATCATTAACAATAACAACAACAACAATGGGCACACTCAACTTTGATCGCCTCTGAATGTCTAAGACTTTGCGACCACAATGTTGAATAGCGTGGCCAAATAAAAAAAATATATATGTATATATATATATATATATATATATATATACATAAATAAGAGGAGTACTTTCAAATGGTGTAGTGTATGCGGCAGAGTGTTGTAATGAGACTCCTGAGCTGTACGTAGCTTTCAACCCTTTCGGGTGGCTAGCATAGCTTAGCCAAAATTACTCTCATTCCTCGCAATTTCTCAGCATTTGGAGCGAAATTGTCGCCTGAGCGATGAGAGTAATGGTTTGCAAGTTAGCGAAATTTGGTTTTTGATTGAACAGGTTTTCTTTTATTTCAATTTTGTCGCTTTTGGTATGCCCAAGTGTTGTTGTCATGTATACGCTCCCCGAGCTAAGGTATGTGGATTCTCAAAAACTTTGTTCGTTGGTATTTCCGTTCTTTACATACCCTCCGACTGTAATATGAGCACTGAAGGCGGTATTCGACGACACTGTAGAGTTGATATTTGCTCAATGAAACATTTGCGCTTTTCTTGAGCGAGTTTTATAGCTGTAGCTTGTTGTTGCTTTCTCCTGCTGATGCTGATATCTCCGCTCCCCACCAAACGGCCATGCATCCAACTTGCTGTTATACAACAAATGACAAATAACCAGATGCATTGTAATAGATTATGTCTACAACTTAATCGCTTTGGATAAATGATGACACTGTTCACTGTTCACTGTTCCTCGCATTACTACCATTGTTTGGCGTATGCTTATGTGTGTGTATGTATAGCATGTGTTGTTGTTGTTGATGTTAACATTAATGCTGCTCATACCGCAGTTTTGGTTCTATGATTCGTTTATGATTTCCTTATACTGTTGTTGTTGTTTTTGTTGTTGTTATTTAGAAAAGAAGTTTATATTTGTGCAGTTGTTTACTTGAATACGTTTGAGATTCTTTTTCTTTTCTTTTCAAAGCAAAATATAACAACGTATAAACGTTTGACATACGCACCTTTTTGGAAAAGAGATAATTATATGTGTATGAATCTATGTTTCTGCTATTTGTAATGAAATATTCTTACTTAAATACTAGTACTTAAAAATGGACGAATTGGTTTTGTGTTTTTTAGTTTTGGAAGGCGATGAAAGGCACTTGCTCTTATAATTACGCCGACGTCCTCGCTGCCGATTTCTCACCTAAATTTATACATTAATATTAATGTTAAACCCAACAGCGACACAAGCAGTGAGGTAGCAACTTGCAGTGCAGACGCACCAGCCAAGCGGCAATGGAATGTATCGTAACGGGACTGCTTGTCGACTACAATATTCTGGTATTCAGCCTCTACCAATTGACCATCATAGTAGGTGATTAGATCTTCAAATGGATATTCGTAGCCTTGTAGACATTCACACTTGTAGCCACCAGTTTCATAGCCACGACCCATGATGGGCACACACTGTTAAAAGGAGGGAGAAATATAGATTATACCATATAACATACAATATAGTTATATATACAAAATATTCTTACATATGAGGTGCGCTCGTCGCATTTGTGTGTGTTTTTGTAAGCATTTGGTTCAAAATATGAATCGGGACATTGATTAATGTCCAACTGCAACATGTCCATTGAGACGGCAACAACACCCCTGAAAATTTTGATTCAAGATTTTTATTGTGCATAGGTAAAGAAGCGTGAGGAACTAAACTTTGAACTCTTCAAAGTAAATGTGAAAAATAAACTATTTTAGTTTGTTGTTAAATAGCGATTAAATATAAATATAATCTTTTTTCAAGAAACAACGGAAGTATGCAAAAAGTATGTATTTTTTCTTTCGTAGCACCCTGCACTACAGCTGTCAAACTGGAAGAAAGATTCGTTTCTATTTAAAACGTCTGAAGTTTCGCGGTTTCCGTATAAAATTTTCCAATAAATAAAATTTCTTAACTGCTTCCGTTATATATACTAATTCTAAGTCTGCTACATTAAAATAATAATAATAATGAAGTGTGTGTGTTGGGCATCGAAATTAAAAGATACATACGTATATAAGTATTTCGTAAAACTTCCAAAACAACAAGAGGATATGGCAGAAATATTTTATACAGCCAATCGGAAGGCCAACTAAATTGAAAAAATTGCATTTTACAATATATGTATATACCCTTATTTCACCTGTCTCTTTCGAGTAAACAATCAACACAATATCATTGGGTGTTAACCACATTTGCTAAATACAAAAAAAAAAAAAAAAAATATATATATATACTATATATATGCCACTGATAAACTTGATCACAAACACGCAAAATACATGACCCGCAATGCCAACTATTTTTATGGAAATGAGCTTAATCCTTAGCCTAAAATTGCTCAGAACACTTGTGATGTTATCTTGTTATGCATCTAATTCAACAATTCAAAAAGAAGTTGTCCCGCTTATGTGTTGACCCCCTTAATCTTCTTAATTTTTTACTTGTATCTATTTCTATTTTTACCACCACTTACTTGAATTCCAGTTTCACTTTAAGGCTATCCCAGCCAAAAAAGGGTGCCGCATAGGTCACGAGCCATTTCTTCACATAACCATCACAGTCGAATTGCGGTTGTGCCCAATACCCGTGTTTCAGGCTTGCCGCACGATATGAATTCGGATAATGTTCGTATTTTTGCATATATTCACCTGTTTCGTTGTGTCGCAACTTCATTTTCATATAGAACGTTTCTAGGTCATCAAAATTGGTAGACCAACGTTGTTTCAAAAACTTGAAATATTTCTTTTCCGTATAGATTTCATGTGTCTTATTCAGGCGTGCCAGATCTTCAACTTTGAATTTACGTGTATTCAACTCAGTCTTGTATGCGTGTGGGGCGAAATATGTGCGGTTGGTGAATTTGTTGCGTTCCCAGAGCATAGAGGCCGACCAGACCTTTGTGTCACCCAAAACAATGGCCAGTGTTTCGCCGATCATTTGATCTTCGGTCAGCGGCTTGTCGGCCACACGTTTACCGGTGTATACTTCATTTGGATCGGAGATCTATTATCAAGGGTTGCATAGGTGAATAGTTAAATAAAAGGGAGAGTGTTAAGATACATACACATGCATAAATAGAAAATGTGGTAAAGGTACAAGCAAAATATATGTAAGTAAGGACTACAACAAAATGAAACTAGTTCGACTGGACCTACGCTCTGTCGCATAGCTTAAATACGATATCTAACATTCTAATTTCTCTCTTTTATTATATTGTGTGCTTTTTATTTGCATAACGTGTTGATTTTTAGAAATCTCAATTGCTTTTTTCGTATATTCTACTTAGAAATGCAGGTTTTACATAGTTTTCATTTATATTTATACTCATTTGCGCTTTCGACAATGTCATTTGTTGCGCCAACTTATGCAAATAAAATTATGATAAACATGTTTTTCTGGAATTATTATTATTACTTTTTGCACTAATGATTTTAGCATTTCGATGATGTTGCTTTGACACTGAATATTTAATTTTATGAACTTTTCAAGGCGACAATATGCCTGTGGTCATGTTGGAAATTTGAGCAACTTGAATTAGGCGTGGAAAATCATAGTTCACACTTGAAGGAATAATATTCATATAACTTAGTTATGATCCTTGTAGAGTTATGAGTGTAGCGAACAGCTGTTTTGTAACGTATATTTATAACCTGTTATTTCACGGTTAAAAATGAGAAAATCATTAAGATTTGAGGGCTATAAATTGATGGAAATGTCAAAAACTGAGCAGAGAAATTTTATACTTGGCTGAGTATTATATACCGTGCTGTAGTTTTTAACAAAAAAAGAAATGAATGAATAACTGTATTCCAATTAGTACATATTCTAATATTATTCTATTCCATTACCTGTAAGAAGGCACTAATGAAATTCGCCAAACGCACAGCCATTTTTGCTTCATTCTCAAATTGTTCCTTTGCGCCATAGCCGACATCACCACGCAATATTAAATCTTGTGGATGGAAACTGCAATTCAATTGAAATATGAATAAGCCGCACTAAAATGAATATTTCACTATCTATTCAAGCACTCACTTTTTGCACGTACGATAATTTACGCCATGTATGAATTTGAGCACTTGATCGATATTAATATGTTCTTCATGCAAACTACGCGAGCCAGTCGAATAATTGCGATATTCCGGATGTAAGTCCAAGTATTTCTCACGCACATCGTATGATACACGCTCCCATTGTATAGGCACCTTTTGCACCCCTATAGAAGCATGAAAGCAAAGGCATAAGAAAAAAAAACTCAAAAATAGACAATGGTTATAAGCGGAAGTGTTAAAATTATATTAACACCTTGGCAGCAGAAAACAAAATACATATGTATATATAGTCATGCATACATACATACATATATGCATATATTTCAAATGCATAATTTGACATTGAAAATGGTATTCGCAACACTTACATCCTATTTTGAGGCAATCATAATCGTTATAGTATTGCTCTGCTGAAGCTCGTTCCACTATTTCACCTAAATACGGTCGTCGTACAACATTCGGTAATCGAAAACCGGGCTTACATCGACATTGATAGCCGCCACGCCGGAAGCCCCAACCGTGCAGCGGCTCACATTCAGTAGTTTCTTTTTTACAACGCGCAGTGTTCGCAAAGTGATTTGGCCCCTTGTTGCCCTCGCCCTTCGGACACTGGTTTATATCCAAACGCTCAAAATCCATTTCCAGCACAGCAATAGCAGTATATCTATATGGAAAAAAGGGGGTGGTATTTTAATGTTGTTCCTATTGTTGTAGTGACATTTTATATACAGATATTTGCAAATACACATGCAATTGTTTATGCTTACTTGGGATATTCAATGTGTCTGAATTGCGTGTGTCGAGGATAAATGTCAGCAATTGGTACTACAGCAGAAACGAGCCACTTATTCGAACGACCGCAATCAAAATAAGGGCGTGTCCATTTAATTGGACCAGGATTTTCATCGGCACCAGGCGGTCCATGGAATGTAAATGTTTCATTTGTATTGTTAGCATAACGTATTTCTACTTGATAGGTAGTTTTCGTATCATGTCGCCCCTCCACATCATCTGGTAGCCATGTCTTATACCATTCATTGATTTTATATAAATCTGATGTGTAATCCTGTGATTTTGTATCTGGCGGATGGGCACCCAAATCTCGCACATCAAATGTATTCCAAGTGGAAATCTTTTGCAAATGTATAGGATCATTAAAATCATCCAAACGGAATGTACGCGGCCCGAAACGGGGGAATGTTTTATTGAAGAAACCACGATAGGAAGATGTATACGAGCTGTTGGGTGCAAAATATATAGCGGAAGCGTTTATGTAGGGATTCGCTGATACATCTGCAACCGTAGATAGGAAATAGTACATCATACCAGGATCGTAGGTATCATTAATAGCTGGACGTATAAAACGTGACTGCAATATATAACTCCAAAAGAAGCTGCGACTCAATGCCATATTATGCAAATGCAGCAGCGCTGTACGATTAGGGAATATCGGATTGATATTTATCTCCTTTATATCCGGCTTATGTGATACCGTATCCTCTGGCAGATACAGATCACTTATATGTTGTATAGGACAATTATCGCCATTTACTTTATCAAATCTATATTTAATTTCATCAAAAGCATCGCGTTGCTGCCATTCAAATTGGGCGAACACACCCACCACAAGCGTCAGCAGAAATAAAGCATAGCTACGTGCTAAAATCGTTGATTTTGCGCTCAACATATTGGCGCTGAGATTCACCAATCACTTAAACTATTTGTTAAAATAAACCGCTGTTAAATAAAGTCAAATTATACATAAAATCGTTAAAAATAAAAGAACAAACAATAATATAGCACCCACAACACGGGCGATTACTAATCAAAGCACTTGTCGAGCTACGCCCTGTTGAAGAATGATGTGAAACGCAGTGGAAACGAAATAGCATTGCAAGTGTCAACAAACAGTGTTGCCGACAGCAGCTGATTTCCTCAGACTTTCAGTTAAATATTTTAAAAATATTCCTGGTAAATAGATTTTACTGAGAAATTTAAATTATGTAGATTGGTATTAGTGTAAATTAATAACACACGTATTACAGCAAGAAAATCGAAATATGTTGGGAATGCAATTGCAAAGGAACCGGGTGGTTTATTTTAATGCTGCAGTATCTGTTGTGTATACTAGCGTTGCCAACTGTTGACATTGTTTGTAAAACATTTTCGTATTGGAAAAGTACGAAGGAAATTTTTAATTAAATTTATGTTCGTAAAAATATAACTTTTTGGTGATAATTTCCGCAATCAACTTTTTATGAATTTCTTTACAGTGGGAATTCATCCCTTTTCGAGTTTAAACCATAACTTGATTTGCCAAGTAAAAAACTATTATTATCATCTTCTAGTTGAAAAATCAGAACATGAATTATGAAAACGTTATAATTTAGATATATGTTATTTCATAGACAGGATTTAGAAAACTAGTTAGTTATTTGTTTCAAGATGAAAATCGCGGTAATAAAATACGTTTTTATCATTAACTTACACAAAACCCTAATTCCAGCAGAATGCCTAATTATGACAGCAGTTCCGCTCGCAAAATTTACCTTCAACTAAAAACTATATATAAATTTTTTAAAGTTAAGAAAAAATAAATTCTCCTTCACCACCCTGTTGTAACGAAATTGCGTAAATTTAATATTTTTTGGTTGAAATTCATTTTTTTACTTTGCATTATTCGCCAGTGAAATTGCAATTAACTGAGGGCTACAACAACAAAGATGATTTGTAGCAACTCTAGTTAGCCGGGCGGATCAATTTGCAATAAAACGCCTCCACCGAAATCCCTAAGCAGCGACAATTTATCACATAGAAAAATGTCCTCAAAATCGAGTGAAATCGAAAAAAGGCGAAGGCATGCACATACACACATACCTAAATAGAAATGTATGTATAAATTTTGCAATAAGTTTGGCGCAGCGCCAACGTCTCGAATTCATGCGGCACCATTATGGATATTGTCTATGTATGCAATTCGCGTTTAACCAAGGTGTCAACTGCGCCGGAACTGTGGGTCCTGCGGACCTATTATTTAAATCACATCAAATTTATTTACTGCATCAAAGCCAAAACGAAGCCGTAAGGAGTTATAAAGCAAAAACAAATTTGCTGCTATGCAATATCATAAAAACCAAATGCCGAAAATAACCCCAATCATGCATAGGAGAGGAACGTATGCACTTACACACATACATACGTACATATAAATGTACGAGTATATTTACATATGTATGTACATAAATATTCTACAAAACCAGGTCAATTACTTGGCAGCGCGTATGTTGTAATGTTGATATATATTTATTTATTTATTTATTTTTTCTACTGTACTTTTAGCAGTCGCCAGCGCTATTGCAGGAGATGACTGCGTAGTTGGCTGTTGCAGTGACCGGTTGGGTACTGCTGCCCTACTGCAAGTTTTACTTCCTGGCATTATCATCAAACGTCAATCTCTGACAATATCGCGGCTGTGATGGTAACAAACACAAAAGCAACCAAAACAGCAGCAACTGTGAGCATCCCGCTTTCTACTACAACAATGATTAACGTCAATTCGATGCATTAGCGGTTTTAGCCAATGTGAAAGGAGGTTAAGTATTTGAATCAGCTGCGCCAGATGTTCGACTTTTGCGAAAATTCTCACAGGAGGGGAAGTTTTAGATTTTATTTTATGTTTTTTTTTTTGTACAACGTTGGTCCCACCTGCGGATTTGATTGCTGAGGAGGATGTGAGAAGTTAAGATTTTCGTAATAATTGCCCTGAAAAATGGCATATGAGTAAAAAAACATACATACATATGTGCATGGGGACTGGGTTTAGCTAATGTAAGAAATACTAGAAATCAGAAGTGTGGATATTAAGCTTAGCTAACAATGAACAGTATCGTTTACATCTATCAAAAGTGATATATTATTTTAAATATAATATAAGTATACATAGAATGGTCCTACATGACATTCGGAAGGCTCAGGTTCATATCCCGGTGCCAGCAACATCCGAAGAAAAGTTATGGAAAATTAAGTTAAATTTTCTAATTGCGGATGCCTCTCGTCAGGGAATGTCCACCCCTCCGAGTGTGCTTCGAACATGAAATAAAGGTTCCTCGTAAAAAAAACCATCAGCCTTTCGGAGGCGGCTTAGTATAAACTGTAGGTCTCTCCATTTGTTGGAAAAACATCAAGACACAAAAACCACAAACTGCAGGAGGAGCTCGACCAACTTGTAGAGGGTGTCTTGATGATTTTTTCGCATAAATTTACGGATCTACAGTTTTTTTATGCCGCCTTTGTATCGACACTGCATTTTTATAAGAAATTTCTTATTTCACTTCAGAAATATATACTTGACATTCCCTGCCGAGAGGCGACCGCAATTAGAAAAATTAATTTAAAACTTAATATTTTTAAATTTTGGTTGTTAGTCTGGTGAGAACTCGATGACCCTAAGCCTGTTAGTGTGCACATAGTTAGTAGTGCGCTAAAGAGGCCGCAAATAATATACTATTAATAATAACCATAAATTTTCGACGGCACCTAGTTTAGCTACTTTATTTATTATCTACCTCCTTGAGTTAAATTAGACGTTTTAGCGATCTTTCGCGCAGTTGCTTAGGTTTTTTGCACAAAACTTAAACAAACATTTTATTTTGGACATTTCTATGTCATCTTTTAGTTAGTAGTTTTTTGTCTCTTCTCTTTCTCACACTTACATGCAAATAAATTTTGTTTTGAATATTAATTGCTCTACAAAAGTCCTTCTTCACTTTGCTTTGAGTACAAAAGAAAGGGTGCCAAACATCAGCACACCCTTCACACCTCATGCGCAAACCACTCAAAGTATACATGTACATGCATTCATATGTATTTACATATGTGTGTTGCGTATGTATTTGTATGCATGTACAGGCCACCGTTAGTTGTTCACATTTCGGCTACTGTAGACTTTCCGGTTGTCTGCACCTTCACCTCAAGTCACACATGCAACAGCCATACAGGCATGAAGCCTTCTGGCTGCTCGAATAGTGTAGCACATTCAATTGCATTATCCTTTCATATTGTCGTAGGTCCATAAAAGTTCACTTGTAGCGTGTCGACAAGCCTGTAGCATACACTCAAGCAGTTTGTTTCATGTCGTTGCTATCCTAAACTTTACTAAAGGAATAATAACAGCTTTTTTATTTTTTATTCCTTTTTTGTTGCATTGCCGAGAGTCTATAGTTGCAACTGTCGTTGCTGAACATTTTTACCCTCTTTCTTTTATGAACAGATATTTTCTGTGCATACCTACATACATATGTATGTGCGTATATATGTAGTGGTAGCTAATGGTTTATTATGCCTGACAGAATAAAAAGTGAAATTGCTCGTCACAAAAAAAAAAATAAATAAAATAAAATAAAAAATATAAAAAAATATAAAATTCAAAAATATACAGCACACAGTACCCTCAAGACAGCAGCAGGCTTCTTTTTTGCTGATTGGCTTGTTGACAACCTGCAAGTTGTTACTTTTAGGTGGCTCAATGAACCATATGGACATGTTTATTTTTATTGCATTACAAATGCACTCACATTAATTTAAAAACAAATTTTATCGGTTTGAGAGCACTCAGCTGACCGTTTCCTCTTCTGGATAAATTCAATACATTTTTAATATTCATTTGAAAAAGTTTTCCATTCACATTTGTACTCCATTTTGGACGGTTCATAGTATCTCAGACAGATTGAAATGCCTTCTATATTTTTTTTTTTTTTTTTTTTTTTTTTAGATCGATTTCGAATATTTTATCGGTTTTTAAAAAGAGAGGGAATGAAAGCTGCTTCTGCTTCTCTTTTTCATTTGTGTAAGACTACTTGCGCGATTGAAGTCGAGTTGGTAATAGCGCGGCATGCATCCTTTCTTTCTTTGCTGTTTGGCGCCAGTTGGAAATACCAAGTGAAAACAAGGTCGCACTCCACCTGATCCTTTTTCTTCCACCAGCGGATACTGCTTCGAATACTGCAGTCCATTCGGACGCCATGATTAAGTTAAGTGATGTGCATCTATTAATTTTTCATGGGTCTTTTCTTAGATTTGGCGCATGGTGACATTGATAAGGTCCAATCAGTTTGTTGACGGTGGGTTTTAGTGTTCTACACAATTCCTTCGATGTTCCCTTATGTATATGCGATATTTCAGCGGCTAATCTCACAGTAATTTGCACAGACTTGTTTAAGGATTGGGCAGAACACACGTAAATTCCAATTGTCGGCCAAGCTTTCTTCCGACCATACATATTTTTACAAAGAAGAAATCGCTCTTCGATTATCTACATGAAATGTTTTTTCCATCGTCATCAATTAGGGTTCCGAGCTTGTCATCCTCGGGTGTGTCATTTTCACTGTCATTTAGCAGGTTGGAGAACTGTTCTCTCCATAAATACAGTATACTCTTGGCATCAGTTACTAGATCATCCCTCTGGCTCGTACAACAGTGTGTTTTTGGTCTTAAAACCCTTTCTGTAAGTCGCCATATATTTTCGTAGAATTTTCGAGCATTACCCTTGTCGGCCAGCTCCTTTTTTTTTTTTGTTTAAAAATGCGACTGAGGGAAGCAAGCTCTCGGTATCTATTCAATTCCGCACATGCTGTGGTCGATCGCAAGTGTGAGAGATAGGCAATCTGTTTTCTATACACTATGAAAATACAATCCTCATCGCAACACCCCTTTTTCTCACCCTTTTCTGGTACTCTCGAAAACCAATTTTTCGCGTAACGAAGATACGTAGGGAGTTTGAGATGTCATTCCATAGGTACCTTATTCTCTCTCATCAGCATGAACTTTAACGAGTTGAGATTCTTTTCACTGTTTAACGATATTTAATAAAG